CGTAGGCGTAGGGAGCGGCGCCGGCCTTGGCAGCGGGGCCGGCCGCGGCGCCGCGCAGCTTGGCGGCCTCTTGCCCCTCTTTCGCAAAATGCTGCGTGACCCGCACGTCGGGAATGACCTTGCCGGCGCCGCCGTCCGAGGCCGAGAATGAGACGGGCGCCGAGAGCTGCGTGGGGCTCGTGCCGGGCGTGAGCGGCCCCCCGTTCTGCTTGAGCAGGTCGGCGTAGGCGCTCTCGGCGTGGAGGAAGCGCTTCTCTTGGTACGCGAGGGCCTCATCCGGCCCCTTCTTCTTCTCCTGCTGCTCGAGAGCCAAGTCCAGCGAGGAGGACTGGTGCATGCGGGAGATGCTCTGCGACGTCTGCAGGATCTCCTCGTACACGGCGCCCGCCTTCGAGAGCCCGCCCTGGTAGTCGGGCTGCGCGGGGTGCCCGGTGCCGCCCTCGTACCTGTACTCGTCGAGGTAGCGGTACTCAAACGTGCTCTGCGCCTCGGCGCCGCGGTAGCCGAGCTGCTGGTACCCGCCGTACGAGGCGCCCTGCTGGGCCTGCTGCCCTTGCTGCTTCTGCATGAGCTCCGCCTTCCTCATCATCTCCTCGTAGGCCTCCTCGGCGCTCTTGAGGGGCTTGCTGGCGGGCTGGCTGGAGCCGCCCTCCGCCTTCTCCGTGGGCGAGTAGAGCGACATGAAGGCGGGCAGGTTGTACTCGCTGCCCGACTTGTACAGCTTGGAGGCCATGGCGTCGAAGCTCTCGGCCTCCGAGTCGACGGAGGGCGAGTACTCGGAGCAGGAGGAGCGGTGCAGCTCCTCCATCTCGGCCGCCTGCCGCAGCTCCTCCGTGGGGGAGGCGTCCTCGATGGGCGACAGGTTGCTGGGCGGCGTCTTGGAGCGCTCGCGCCTCCGCTGGGCCCGCAGCTCCTCCTTGTCGCGCTTGGTCTTGCGCGCCGTGCTGCGGATGCGCTGCTGCTCCACCTCCCGCATCTTCTCCTGCTCCCGCAGGAGCTCCTCTTCCTCCCGCAGCTCCTCCTCCTCGGACGAGTCCTCGATGGTGGGCAGCAGCGGCCCGTGCGAGCGGTGGCGAGCCTTCCTCTGCTGCTTCACCTCCTCCAGCCTCTGCCTCCGGCTGGGGCTGCTGTCGCTGTCCTCCTCCAGCGAGGAGATGGAGGTGGGAGAGGTGCCCGACGTGTAGCTGGGCGTCGTGGCCGGCAGGGTGGAGGTCGAGTACTCGCCCCGGGAGCGCTCCTCCGGCGAGCCCGTCAGGCTCTCCATCTCCAGCTCGGGCTCCCTGTCCAGGCTGGCGTCCGCCTCCTGCCTCCCCTCCAGGTCCCTGCCGTAGCCGTTGGTGCTGTTCAGCTCGATGGTCTTGAAGCGCCTCAGGCCGCCCTGGGCCGTGCTCACGTCGTCGCCTTCGGCCGCGTCCAGCTCCTTCCTCTCCTCCTTGTAGAGGCTGCCGGAGCCGTGCGGCAGGCGCCGCTTGGCCGGCGGAGGCTCTTTGCTCTTCTCCGCCTCGGGCTTCGGCCCCGTTTTGGCCACGCTGTATTGGAGGTGACTGTAGCCCTCCTCCTCCTCCTCCTCCAGATTGTCCTCCTCGGCGCTCATCTCCAGGATCTGCCGCCGCATGAACTCCTCGTCCGTCACCTCGGCCTCCCTGCCCGCGGGCCTGCCCGGCACCGGCGAGAAGCCTCCTTCGCTGCTGTCCTCCACGTAGTCGTGGCGCAGCTTGCTGCCAAACTCGTCCGACGACTCCATGCTCTCCCTCTGCTCCCGCTGGTTCTCCCACTCCAAGGAGTCCTCGTCCTCCTCTAGAATGTCTTCCAGCTCCTCGTCGGAATCAAAGGCTTCTGGGGTGATGGAGAGGTACCGCGGGCGCTGCCGCTGCCGCTGCTCTTCCCGCAGCTCCGCGTAGCCCTTCCCGCGCTCGCCGGCCTCCTGCGAGGCGCCCTTGGCCTCCAGGAGGGGCCGCATGCTGCTCTCCAGCTTGGTGAGCTCCGAGGGGCTGGGCGGGCTCTGCTCGGCCAGCCCGGTGCCGCTCAGCTTCTCCTCCTCCTGCTGCACCAGGCCCGTGATCTCGCTCTGCGAGCTGGAGATGCCGTCGGACGAGTAGCCCGTGTCGCTCAGGCTCTGGGGGCTGCGCGACAGGTCGGGGGGATAAGGCTTGCTTGCTTCCTGCGGGCAAGACAAAGCAACGGGTTAGCCCTGCCCGGGGGCACCCAAGGCGCCGGCTGCGGCCGCTCCTCTGCTCGGCTCCCTGGGGCCCGGTGCGGCGGCACCGCGCGGGACTCGCTGCCCTGCAAAGTGCCGGGGAGCCCGGGGCAGCGCGAGGAGCCGGTGCCCGCGGGAGCGCAGCGAGGGTGACCTGCTGCCCGCCACGGGTGTCATTCGACTCCTTCCCGCGCGCCTCGAGTCCCCGGGGACACGGGGAAGGTGACTCCGCCGGCGTCTCGAATGGCACCTCGCTGCCCTAAGGTGGGGAAACGCGCCAAGCGCTAAGCGGCCGGGCCGGGCCTGGGGCCTCCCGCCTGCCCCGGGGCTCTCCTAGGACACCCAACTTCTGCAGGGATCCCCTAGGATGGTTTCTTCTCGAGGCTGCACGTGCAGCAAGGAGCAGCCCTGAGCGCCAGCCCCGCGGTGCCGCCGAGAGCGGCGCGCGCGCGGGCCAAGGACGCCGCCTGCTTCGCCCGTCCACTCCGAAAGCTGCTCCCTGCCCCGTGGGCTCCGACAGCTGCTCCCTGCCCCACGGGCTCCGACAGCTGCTCCATGCGCGTCTCGGGGAGCGGATGCCTCGGGAGGGCTGAGGGCTACGGGAGACATCTCCAACCGGCTCCTTGGGAACGCACCAAGCAGCCCCGGTACATCACGGGGAACGCAGGCAAGGAGCCACGTGCCTCAACGCGGGCGCTCGTCCGATCCCGCCGCCGCTTCCCGGCGGATCCTGCCCACCCCAAAGGCTCCTAGTCCCTGCTAAGGGCTTCAGGGCGCCGTGCTGGAGCGCCGGGAAAAGCGCATCGCGGACGATGCTCCGAGCAGCTGCTGCAAAAGCAAACGCTCTCCGGAGGGTAGGAGCCGTTTAACCCACCCCGAGGGGGCATTCAGTGGTATCGGATTATCCGGGTGGGAATATCCGTGAGCTACACGCCGGATTCATAAATTGGTTTCAGGAATTGAGCTCCGCCAGCGTTAACTCCGCTGATAATTAATACTAAAAGGCTGTCTGCTGGAAATATTGATTTTTGACTATCTGCCTATTTAGGGGCCTGTAAGGCTCCGAACGCAGCTGAGAATCTCGGGGTATTTATGGCTCCAAGCCCTGAGGTTGGCAGGGGAGCTTCGGGCAGCGGGCTCCGCACTCGCTCCTCCACCAGCGCCAACCAGCAGAGCCCAAGGTGGGAGGAAGAGAGCGCTCACAGAAACACCCCCTCCCGCAACAGCAGCAAGGAACGCTTTGCCCAAAACGGGCTTTTCACATCCTGACAAGACTCAAATGCCCTTTATCTCTGTAAAACAAGAGGCAAAAGACTGTCGAAGCCCAATGCCCAAATTCATGTAATAGAAAGGAGCGTGCTCCTATCTAGCCTTTGAAATCCTTCTGAACTAGAAGTGTTCTGCCTCCCTAAAAGCTTTCATTTTTTTGGCAAGCCTAACAGGTTCAATGAAATGGTTTCCATTCCACTTGGCAATAAACCCCGGGCACCTGAGTATTGCCACGGGATTCACCCGCGACCAGCCCTGCCCAGCGCCCTGAGGACCCCGTGGCCACCGCAGCGTGAGGCCACGGCCGCACAAACCTGGGTGCTCGGGGGAGCTCGGAGCGCTGCGGGCAGGGTCGGAGCACCCACCTCCGTCTCCTTGGCCCTCGGAGCCTCGCTGGGCGCCCGGCTCTCCTTGCTCTCCGCCTCGGCTTTCGCGGCCGGGCTCTTCCCCTTCGGCGCGGCGCTCTCGGCGGCTTTGGGAATCTCAACGGGAAGCTTCGGCGGTGGCTTCTCCTCAACCACGGCTGGTGGCTTCTTCTCCGGGGCAGCGCCCGGCGTCCTGCTCGGCTCCGCAGCCCGGAGGTTCCTGGCGGGCGACGGGTGCCTGTCGGCGGGCGCCGCCGGCTCGGGCTGCGCCGC